CTACAGTAGATGGACATGCTGTGTACCACACTGAGGTTGTTGTGCTCTTGTAAAGATCTCTGTAACAGTGAAGGGACTAAGAAAAACAAGGGCAGAACAGCCTCTCCTGCAAGCTGCATGTTTGCACTCAAAATGCTTAACCTGATTTTTTCCCACTGCTGTTACCTTGTAAGCAGATCCAAGACAAGAATCCTGGTGAGTCTCCCCCAGAGTAATATCTTGCAGTGGTGCACTGTAGGGGTGTGAGTAGAAATGGCCCATCCAGACCCTGCATAGCCCTTGCCAAATGTGCACTCTCAGTCCCAGAGGTGGAATTGTTAAAACAATCTGTCCCCTGGCATATTTTTTCTCTGGGATTGCATTTCCGAGATAGATGGCATCTTGTGCCATTTCCAAAGGGAATTTCATGTCTTATGCACATTTGAAAATATGGATACCGTTTGGACACAGTGTGCAGTGTTAACTGGGGTGTAGCAGCAAGTTGTTCTTATAGCTATCCTTTCTGTCCCCTTTTCTTTCTGTTCTGCTTGTCAGCTGCTCTCAGACCTCATCACCCACAGTTTTCAGATCCTAGAGCACCTCTTTGACTTGCACTTCATTTCCATGTAGGCTTTCACCTTTCATCACTCCTATCTTAGTTTGGCTAATATGACTCTGGAGATGAGACTCTTGAATAAGCAGACTGGTGTGCTGGAAACCCAGCATCAGTTTGGAACTGACTCTCAAACTCTTCCTGCCCAGAGCAGAGGTGCAGAGCAATGCAGGGGCTCCCTCTGAAAATGCTGATTCCAGCTCTGCAAGCAATCTGGTGGTCCTGCTGCTGTGGTCTCTCAGCTCTGACTGGTCTAGCCAAGCAGATCACTACAGACACACTGCTGCTGGTTCTGGTGCCAGAGTGGGTTTAGGTGTTTGTGACAGCACCACTCTTCACTGTACAGGCTAACCCTTTCTTCCTTTTTTTTCCTGCTTGCACCATGAAGCACCCCTTTCTATTGCCAAACAGGATTTCAGCGAGGTGGGTGGCTTCCACCAGGACGCATGAAAACTGGAAAAAAAACTGGGACACTACTTTTAAGACTGGAAAAAAAACTGGGACACTACTTTTAAGATTGTTTTTAAAGAGGACTTTGGAGACAGAAGCTGATTTATTTTACGAGGGGGTGCTGTCTCCCTGCAGTGTGTTCTGTCACCATGTCACAAGATTTCTAAAAGGAGCAGAATCAGTAGGACACTGGTGTATCAGTCTGCAAGGAGCAGCTTCCTTCGCTCGCATCCCATATTTGACTAAACTGGTATCACATGGTTCAGTCTCCCCACTCTTCTCCCACCCCCTGCCTGCTTCCGCCAACAGTCCTCTCAAAATGTGCTTTGTAACTAAAGACTCCCCTAAAGAGCTGACTCTTCCAGTTCTCCTGCGTAACAAAAACTTGTGCTGCTCATAAATAGATTTGCAATTACCAAGGGAAACAGAAGAATCTGCACAGTCCAGATGCATCAGAGTGGCCTCCCATCCTGTCTTAAAGAAGCCTCTGAAATTCAACACTCATTGCTTAGGCATAGCTGGGAGACCTCTGCAGAAATGTTTCTTTTTAAGCAGCATTCCTCTACTGCAGGATCTGCTGTTTGCAGCAGAATTGTCAAGGAACCTCAGTCTCTGTCCAGTGTCTTTACAGAAAATTACAAAAGCTCTTTGTATTTTTGACTAGCCTAGAGTTTTATGTACTTCTTATAGCAGTCAAGGGTAAGAATTGCCTGGCCAGCATGGGAGATCCTGAGCTTACAAATTAGTTTTCTGCTAATATCATCTAGTGTGTGGTTAGTACTGTCTGAGCAATTCCAACCACTCTCTGATCATCCAGGAGGTCAGATTTCCTTAGGTCTTGGGACTCACAGGATGGTGATGATTTCATATAGAAGAAGAAAGGCATTCTCAAGGTTATGCATCAAACAGGATGAACCTGTGAGGGAAAATCAAGAGCCTTTGCTGGGTCCTGTGGAAGGATTAAGCAGTAGAGAAGAGGGAGGCAGTCACACATGTGAGTGGTCCTTAGCTTTCCCTGTAGAAGAGATCACATATATAAAGCAGATACCTTCTATATGTCTTCTCCCTAGGCTGCCAGGGAATTTGAGGGGAGGCATACACCAGTTAGTGTCTGGGTCTGGCTTGGCTCCCAGAATTCCTGTGATAGGCTTCTTCTGTGTGCAAGGTTCTGCTGATTCTCCTCTGTGGAACCTTTCCGAGCACCCCATTGCTCCTTTGGCCTCTCTCTAGCTCCCATGCAGAAGCCTCCCTGAATTCAGTGACTGCCCTGACCATCATCCCATTCAGTTTGATGAGACCAAACAGCATCTTGTTTTGCCTGTGTGTTTCCTTTTGGTGGCAATGGTTGCACATCTAAAGCATCAGGAAGCAAGACTTCAAGAAGGAATCCAAAATTAGGAAATGCATATGTTAGAAATAAGTTTTTATGTCGTATTTTTCTTGTGATCAGTCTCTTCAAAGACGAATCTATGTGTTCCTCCTTACTTTACACAAAGTTAGTAACGAAATAGCAGTGGATCCCAGCACACACTGCAATGGTCATGAAATCAGTTCATCTGAAATTCTGTAATGGCATGTAAAGAGCATTTTTGCGTTGCCTTTTTTTTTGTTTTTAATGGCAAGAATTGTCTCTGTGTCATCTGCATCAGAGTCACAGTTCATTCAAGGATGTGTCCCAAATGTAGGTGTTATATAAAGTATCTTTTCTCTGTTTTTATTCTCTTTGTATCTTAGTGATTGAAGTAGAAATAAATTCTTTTTTCCCCGACGCTGAAGAAACAACAAAGGAATGAAGTTCTGTTGGTAGAGCTCAGTTGCTCACCTGTGTTTCTCTGAATTCATGTTTAGTAAACCAACCAGCAAGCCTGGCCTACAGGTGGTGCTCCTGATTCTTACAATCCTTGCCTTTTTCATGCTTGCAAGCATACTTACCTGTTAGAATGCCAAATTTAATAGCTTGGGAAGATCTTAAATTAGTTACAAGCCTAGAAAAACAGAACTCCTTTAAGGTGTTTTAGAAAGAAGTGGTAACTGTACACCAGTCTCTCACTTAAGCACTGCCCAACAACCTTTTCAATGTCACACAAGGTACTACTGCAAATTGTATGTTTTGCCTAGTAGCAGCAAGAGGCTTCTTAAGTGTCAGTGAAGCTACTTTGATACCATGAGAGCTGGTCCTTCAGCTAATTTTTTTGTGTGTGTGTGTTTAACCCTACAAATTCTGGTTTGGTCTTTACAGACAACTCCAGAGGGCTTCTATAAATTTCATTAGTTTTTCTGTAACCCCTACTGCCTCCTGCTCCCTGGTGGACCTGGGACTGAGATGAAAAGAACAGAGCTCAAATAGCCCACTGGTGCTATTAAGTACTTGGGTTGAGTACCAGTCTTGGTGTTTTTCTTTGTATTTGCACTTAGATGCTTGCTGAACTGGAGCACTTCTGATGTACATGCATGGGCTGTAGAAACTTGGGATGAAAGCTTTGTGACAGGATAGTGTGTGCCACAGTGTTGGCTCATGGGATTCATTGGAGCCCCTTCACATTTTAAATATGTTTGTGAGCAAGGGGGGACAGTTCGAAGACACTGCAAACCCCTAAAGCCTTAGGTAATCTTGAATTTGGGCAGCTCAACTATTTATAGAACACTCTATGCCTTTTCTAAATATACTTTCCTCAAGGGGACCTTATCTCAACTCCCTGCTCCACCACTTCAGTTGGATCAGCAATGCTGCTGTGGTCTGTTAGCAAAAATTCCTTCTCTTGTTCTGTGGCAGAGCTGGTGCAGATGTTGCTGGTTCAGGACTTGAAGGGGAAATCTGGTGCCAAGCAGAGCTCAAGGGTTTGAATTTAAACTGCAGCCAGCCAGGTAGAGAGATATTGATGATATATTAGATCATTTCCTGTAACCATCTCCTTACTAAATTTCAATATTTCTCTTTTGCTGGTAGGTCTAGAGTTCTGGAGAGGGAAAATCATGTTGACTCATTGATAGTGTACAGAAGGCAGGGCTTGAGTCCCACCTGCTGTTGGTTGAATGGGGTTAGACTATCAACTCTATTGCTCCCATGTAAGGACAAAGGATCTCTTCAGGCCAAGGAGAGCAGCTCATCCAACAGCAGATTTTGTAGTGGAAAATCTCTACCCTTTAGAAAAGTCATGATTTTTTTCTTTTCAGTCAAAGGCTCTGGGATAGAAATTCTGGTGCAAAGGACCCACTGCAGAGCATTTTTCATCCTTCAAGTTTTAAAATATTTAGAAAAATTCATCCTTTACTGAATCCTATAGATCTGAACATTTTCTTCTGTTGGATAGTTACATTCTGTCTGCCTTACTCAGGACATCTGCAGATCTGCATGGCAGATGCTGTAGATCACTGTCCTGAGTGGGAAATTTTGGGTGAGTGTAGAGGTAGAATGGGCCATCAGAACCCTTCATATCATGAATAGCTCTGTTGCCCCACAGTGAGGGCCAGTAGTACTTTAATCTTAAGGGAAAGAAAGAATTGCTCCCTGTCCCTATGATGTGATTGGTCCACACTCTACTTTGTAGGTATTGGACTCAACTTACAACAGAGGTGTAAAGCACTAAGGCTGCTTGCACTGGTTCAGGCACAGGATTCAGAGGCAGTGTGTCAGTAGTGTCTGCAGAAGTCACGTCAATTTAGGTACCCAACAGAAAACCCCTTCTGGGTGCAGCAGAAGAGTGACTGCTACTTATTTGGCCTCTGGGATAGAGAAGCCTGTGCAAGATTTTGCCGCTCCACAGATCAGGGTAACACAGCTCACTGTGTTTATAAGCCTCAGAAAATGTTTTAGAGGTTGACAGAAGCTTTTCTTAGTTATTACCCTTTGAGGATGAGCAGGGCAGCATGTGGCAAGATTGCAGAATGGGATTAGCTCAGGATTTAGCAGGAAGAGTTTCTTAGCACTCCTTTAGAGCTATTTCCTTCTATTGCAGCCCCTGGAGCTGCATGAAATGGAAGGGGTTTATGTTCTTGCTTGCCTGGCAGGAAAATCATCCCAGCTCAGTGCAGCAAAATGGACACTGGGGTCCAGTGCTCTTGGAAGGAATGAAACAGGTAAAGTGTATTTAAAAAGGAATTTCACATGGGGAGGGTATGGGTTTCAGGTACACTGAATATTACCCCAAGAAGCATTCTGCTTCACACAGAGGCCCCTTCCTATGGTCTCCTTGGCTTTTCCAAGGAATCAGTGTCAACAGAGCTTTAGATTTTACTCTGGTCATGGCTTACCTATATGCATGCAGATAGCATTTTCTTGTTGCTGTCCTAGCATGCAGGAAAGGACAGGTGAGTCTCTCTGAAAGCCCTCAGTGCCTTGGGGTGCTGCTGCTGCTCTCTGCTAGGGTGACCCACTCAGTACAGGCAGCGTTTGTGATACTGCAGGGATGCATTACCTCAGGAAGGGCTCTGCAGTTGCTGGACTATGACAGGATTGGTGCTCAGACTGTAGTGCTGATCATTTGTGTTTCACTAAAAAACATTCTTAATGTGTCTGCCTGTGATCTCTGGGCTGACAGAGTGACTGGCAGCTTTCTGGCTCACTCTGTTATGCCTCTGGCTAGTTATTCCCACTGCTGTCTTTCTAAGACTGGCTTCTTTTTAATGGAAGTTGTCCATTTGACCATTCTTGATGTAAGCAAACCATATTGCCTTTCAGAAGCTGGAGTCAGTAATACATGCCAGCAGAAATTAGTGCGTTTGTACTTGTAAGGAGTAAGGATCTATCCCTTTTGCAGTGCTTATAACAGCTTCAGCATCTCCATTCAGACTTTGTTCCCTCATGGCTGAGGTGTGGTAGCTGAACTGAGGCTGGGAAGCAACCAAGTGTTCAACCACAAGAGGAACACCAGCAGTGAAACAGCCCAGAAAGCAGGAGCAGACTGCAGAGCAGTTGAAGTGCAGAGCTCAATTTTAAGCCTAATTTGAACACTGAATGAGGTGCTAATATCTCAGTTTCTGTGTAGAGTCTCTTCTCAGTCTGCTGTTCATGTTCTATGACACAGTATAGTGGGGTGTATATATAGAATTCCCGGTGAAAAGCTGGCTTTGTACAACTGGTACAGGCACTGCAGGGTGAATGTCATGTCTGGTTTTGGTGCTGAAAATAAAATGTCTGTGTTCTGAGGAGCTGATCAGATATTTTATGTCATTGCAGCCTGAAGAGCTGATTTCAGAGCTGGCTTCTCTAATTGCCTGATCATTTAACTGCTCCATTCACCCATAAGAGAAGGATGCATTTCTTCTGTTCATGTTGGCTTGTTCATCAGTAAATGTAATGCAGATTGTGAAATCAGACCTGCTTGAACTAACATTTGTAGCCATTCATTCACTCATGAACAAACCAACTCCCTGACGCTGGTCCAGGTTTTTTCTACACCAGAGAGAAAATAAGAACAGCAAGTCAATTAATATTCTCTTTTCTCTCTGGAGTGTTGGTGAAACATTTGGATACCATGGAAATGAATGTCAATAGGATGAAAAACTGGTCTAGAACGTGTTAAAAAAGTTAAATTTAGTCCTGGAAGCAGCTTTGCTGTGTTTCCCCAGAGGCTTCTGCTTTTTCCCACTGCTCACAGTGTGATGCTCAGGATGGACTTCACACATTCCCAGGAATGCAGGGAAGGCCCTGCTTTGAGTCAGGTGAGACCAAAGATGTCTGAGTGCTGGGCCTGATACATATTTTTGCCACACCAAAAGAGATAGATACCTCTTGTTACTTTTCTTTCCTGCTGGGCATGGAATGGGTTTTAATCCTGGATCTGTTTGCCTTTTTTGAAAGGACTTCTCTTTCTGTCTTTTTCAGGCATGGTTCAGAAACTCGACCAGAAGCTGCCTGTAGCCAACGAGTATCTGCTGCTGTCAGGCGGCGTGCGGGAAGGTGTGGTGGACATTGACCTCGATGAGCTGAATGTTTATGCCCGGGGCACAGACTATGACATGGACTTCACCCTGCTGGTGCCCGCGCTGAAGCTGCACGACCGCAACCAGCCGGTCACGCTGGACATGCGCCACTCGGCCCTGTGCCACTCCTGGCTGAGCCTGCGCCTGTTCGACGAAGGAACCATCAGCAAATGGAAGGACTGCTGCACCATCGTGGACCATATCAATGGAGCTACCAATTACTTCTTCTCCCCAACAAAAGTCGCAGACTGGTTCTATGAATCCATTAGCATTGTCCTCTCTGAGATCCAGAAAAAGCCCCAACGAGGGATGCCAAAGGTGGAGAAGGTAGAAAAGAATGGGACTATCATATCCATTATTTTGGGAGTGGGCAGCAGCCGCATGCTGTATGACATTGTCCCCGTGGTGTCCTTCAAAGGCTGGCCAGCCGTGGCACAGAGCTGGTTGATGGAGAACCACTTCTGGGATGGGAAGATCACGGAAGAGGAGGTCATAAGTGGGTTTTATTTAGTGCCTGCGTGTTCCTACAAGGGGAAGAAGGACAATGAGTGGAGGCTGTCGTTTGCCAGGAGTGAAGTGCAGCTGAAAAAGTGTATCTCCAGCAGCCTCATGCAAGCCTACCAGGCCTGCAAAGCCATCATCATCAAACTGCTGTCCCGCCCCAAAGCCATTAGTCCATATCACCTGCGGAGCATGATGCTGTGGGCTTGTGACAGGCTGCCAGCCAGCTACCTGGCCCAGGAGGATTACGCAGCCCATTTCCTCCTGGGTCTCATTGATGACCTCCAGCACTGCTTGGTCAACAAGATGTGCCCTAACTACTTCATCCCGCAGTGCAACATGCTGGAGCACCTCTCCGAAGACACCGTCATGCTCCACGCGCGGAAGCTGTCCTCGGTGCGCTCCGACCCTGCCGAGCACCTCCGAACTGCCATCGAACACGTCAAAGCAGCCAACAGGCTCACCCTGGAGCTCCAGCGGCGGGGCAGCACCACCAGCATCCCCTCCCCACAGTCGGATGGCGGGGACCCCAACCAGCCTGATGACCGATTAGCCAAAAAGTTGCAACAGCTAGTGACTGAGAACCCCGGGAAGTCCATCTCTGTCTTCATTAATCCAGATGATGTCACAAGGCCCCACTTCAGAATTGATGATAAATTTTTCTGAGCTTTCGTCAGTGTTTCTCGGGATTTTTATTTGTTTCGTTTTTTAAAACTCTTGCAGTGTGCAGGTTTTTTCATTTGTTTTTCCTGGATGACTTAGTCTCTTGATTTTTACATATCCAGCATAGATTGGATCTGTTGAGAACAATCTGAATAAATTATAAATCCTGGTTCTGCAGGACGGTGCAGATTTTGGAACAGTATATTACTATTTCATATGCTGCTTTGGATTTTTTCACCCACCCTGCCCCATTGTCTGTGAGTAGTTTCTAAAGGAGGACACGCATCGTAAACACAAGCCACAGTGTAATGTAGGGTTTTTTTCCCAAGCTTCCATAATTTATGTACATTGTTGGGCTGGGAGAAAGACAATTCACCTTCCGTTGCTTCAGAAATTCACTTCTTTTTCATGAGCTTCCATCACCCTAAAGAAATGAGGAGAGACTGGGTTGGAAAGCACTACTGGTAATTTGACAAGGCCAAATCTACTGGGTTGAAGCCCAGTTCATCTGTTCTTCACATTTCTGATACTAGGGGAGAAAGCTGACTTTAAAGATGATGATGTAGCTTTTTGGGGAAAGAGTTGTTTCTGTTTTGATCTACTTTTTGAATGTAATTGTTCATTAATTGGACCTTGTACAGTCCAGAGGGTTGTTTCTGCTGCTTTTCCATGCGGAATAAGGTTATGGAATGTTAGTTTTAGTGTGTGTAATTATTCAAAGCCTTATTTAAATTCTATTAAAGAACATACCATTTTAAATGTAATTGCACTAATGAAATCTCTGCCATTACCTCAGTCCCACTGTTTGTGTTTCTTTCATGAATTAGCATCTGTTATTAGGTCTCAATATTGCTGATTGCTTGAGACCCCTCAGGTCTCACGGTTTCAGGTGATTTCTTGATTGTCTTTTGTAAAAGACTTCCTTGTTAGCCCGGCTATGTGTGAGCAGTCAGAGTTTTGCATTGGCATATTTCTTTGGATGCGTATTGTGTGTTGCAGTGCATATTGCATTAATATGTATTGCATGTTGTTGAAACAGGTTTACCATTAGATAAGGATGTAACGCTAAAGCAGTGGTATGTGCAAAGTGAATCAGCCAGACCTCGAGCAAAGGAGCTACCTTGCTTCTCTAATGCATGTAATTAGGCCTGATCCTTTCTGGCAGTTACCATTCCCTGGACTCCTGAGAACTTTCTGACTCACCCTGGGGTATGGGAGATCTTACTCTGGTCTCATGTTTGCAAAAGTTGTGTTTGTATGTAAACTTGTGGTGCAACAGTAGCCTTGAAAAACACATACACTTTTCTTCTGTGTGTAGGGTAAGATGTTTGGTAACAAGGGTTAGTCTGAGCCAAAAATAATTCCAAGAGTTCATGGATAGAGTGACTTATTGTGGCTGGCTGGCCAGTGACTGATATTTAGGCCTTAAATCAGCAACTTGGGCTTACTGATTATCCCAGAGATGCTGTTCTGATCCAAACTTGATGCATGTGTTAAAATGTGATTATTAGAGCAGGTTGAAGTATTTTTCAAATATTTGACAGACAAATGAGGTGCATATCTAGTAAATTCTAACATAAAAATTGTGTATGAAAAATGTGTCACTTTTTCAGCCCAGCCTTTGTGGTAAAGAAACCAGGCTGGTGGAGCAGCACACCAACAGCTTTGGCAACTGCTTTATTAGATGGCAAGGAGGTTTCAATATCTGATTTAGTGCCCAAGTCTTAAAACAAAACTTTAGCTCCTCCATCTCTTGGGCATAATTGAAAATTTCACCCCATTGCTATAGCCAAGATGTTCACATTTACCTGAACTTACTGGTACACACTTACAAGAAGCTCTCAGAAGTTGCTGGCCTGATGGAGTGGATGAGGATTTAACCTTAAAGCACAATTGGCTCTTGATCATGAGCCCTGGTGCAGCTGCAGTTTGTTCTGGGGAAGGACATGGATTGACTTCAGCAGAAGCAGAACTGGGTCCTACCTGTGTGGCTATTGCCAAAGATGAGTCTCCATATAAACCTGTGTAACCTGCCTGGGGGTGCAGGAGAAACAATGGAGAATCCTCTCCAGAAGTGCTTGGAACATGCAGATTTGTTGTAATGGTTTCTTCCCCAGTCTCTGGGACTTCTGTTTGTTGAAAGAAGAATCTGGGCTGCAGGATGAAGTTTCCCATCACCACATGAGAAATCTGCTCAGCACAAAGCAGCAGTAGCCTGGCAGGCAGAGTACTCTCCCAGGAGTCCCATTGTCTGTGCCAGTGCTCCTGAGATATGCAGAAACACAGCCTTCCTCATGCCAGTTCAATGTCCTGGTGACCAGCAGTTTGACTAGCCCATGTCAAGCTCTGGTGTGTGCTCCGTTTTTTGGTTTTAATTAAAAAACATTTTGAAAAGTATCCACCTTGTTCTTCCTGCATTCTGTGTGTTGGGTCTTCTCCACATGCTATAGTTAATTTAATGAAGCAGGCTGCCAGCCCAGAGAGGTGACAAGTGTTTTGTGTATCAGAGAACACAAAAGACTATTTTCTTCCTTTTCTGTTTTCCCCTCTTGCCTTTGAGTATATGCTGGCACAGACTTGTGAAGTGCAGAGGTCTCTTTGTGGGATTTCAAAGTATTCAGTGGGTTTAGATACCAAATTCAGTGGGTTTAGATACCAATGACCTTTTACTCTTTACTTCTCTCTGCAAGTTTCAATGAAACCGTGGTGCTTTGCCTATTAGGGAGTTCTTGAAAGTCATTCACACAAGCATTTTAGAGCACTCAGCCCCATGGGGTTAGAGACTTGGCCAATCTGACAAACACTGGAATAAGAGGGAATTTGCTTTAAATTAGCAATGTAGGCATCTTCCCTGCTGATGTCAAGAAGAGAAAAGTCAGTGCTGTGAGCCAGTGTCTCCATGGGAGGTTCAGTTCGGCACCCACTGCTATGGCAGATCAGATTTCTTTTTCCTTTTCCTTTTTCCCATTAGCCACCTCTCTGCTGACTTCTCCCTGTCCTGAGTGATGTTGCAAAAGGACTGGGACAGTTTGTGAGGGGCTGGTGGCAGGTAGGAGGTGTCCTTTGTGAGTTACTGACTCCTACAGGGCTAAAAGGGAGGGAGTCCCAGCCAAGAGGGTCTGGCTTTGAGGCATCAAGAAGGTGGAGGGGAAGGAAAAGTGCCCTTCAAGAGGCTCCACTTCCACTTCCCAGTGTGATCCTCCTTGGGCATCCTGGCTCTGTCCTACTCTTGGAGCATGCTTTTGCCTTTGCTCTTCCCACAGGGTTTCTCGCCAATAAGACAATGGGAGAAGTGATTGTGGTCAGACCAAAAGTAAGCAGACATTTTTCATATTTTATTAACCCATGCATAATACAAGTGACCATGAACAATGCAAGTGACTGTGGCAGATGGAAAGGAAGATAGACTTTGCTAATGATTATTTCTCATGGTTTTTTTTTAAAGGTGTGCATAGTCAGTGCCTAGAATTGCTTAGAAACATCCATCTGTCCCTTTTTCTGGGTTCAGTGCTGGATGCATTTTGCCACTTTGTCTTGTATTAAAGTGAGCGTGTTTGGAAGGTTGCTGGGCAGCTGAGTGTAATAATTTTCACATTCTCCTGGCATTGCTCAGTGATTAGAGGTATTCAGCATGCAAATAGCTTGTTCAACTTCAGCAAGTACATCATCTCCCTCCTGCCAGCCTTGCTTGGGGTGAGCTAATGGACTTTTAACATTATACAGCTTAGAGAGCACTGTCTCTAATAGCTCCTGATTAAGCTCTTCAGAAAGGCAAATAACCATCATGGGGCAAAGGCTAAACCAGGGGAGGGGGGAAAAAGAACACCCTGGCCAAGGGACTCTTGCTGACATGTTTTGGGTTTAGGGACATTCAGCATTATATTTAGCATGTTTTGGCTTTCAAGAACTGTCAAGTGAATCCAAATTTATTTCCTCTGAATGCTTTTAGAATAGTGATAAAATAGCCCTCACTCCTTTCTCCTCCCCTTTTGCCATTTATAATCTATTATTTTAGGGCTGCTCTGAGGAACTATTGTGTTTTCCTATTATCATTGTCCCTGGCTCAGCACTGTGTTTCCAAGCTGAATGTAGGCTTTTGGGGGATATTTTTATCTTGCTGGCCTTCTGTGGTAGAGGAACACACTCTCATTCAGTCTCCAGACAGCCTGATTCACCAAGCAGAGATGTGGGTGCATACTGGGGGCATCAGGCTCTCTTCAAACTGACTCAGCCCTGTCTTTGCCTCAGTTTTTGTGTGTTAGGAATATCAGTATGAAAGACACGACCGAGGTCTTGCTAAGCACACAGAAGACATGGTATGTGATTCTGAAGTCAAGCAAGCTCCAGTGCAAAGTGAAAATTGAACCCAAAAATCCACTTTTCTCCCCGATTCTCAACCCCTCTGACTCCTTTGTTTTAGCTTTATTTTGGGGAGGAGGAGAGAGATGAGCTGCTTTGGTCCACTTCAGTGGTTACAAATCACAGCCTTGGCCTAGGACGTTAGGCACTTCACTCATCAATGGCTTTGTCTCCAGGGCTCCTATTGCTTATGCCCTACCATGACATTGACAGCATGGGAGAGGGTTTTATGATTTGTTCAGCACTGTGCAAAGAAAGGAATGGGCATTTTTCGTGAAGGGCTGGTGACCTATTGTGTCCTTCTCCTGCCTCCTGCGTGCCAAGGCTTACGCACACAGTATATTAATTGCCACTTTTGTGGGCTGCAGCTGATCACAAAATAAATGCCAAGGTGCTTCTGTGCAAACCAGTCTTCAACCTTCAGCATCCTTTGCAGGGTTAGTCTGCTCCTGACTGAAGCCTATGCTCTCAGAACAAACTTTGGTTGTGTTTGAAGGGTACAGGCTGGGTCTGTGTACACCAGTGATGGCAGGCCAGGCTCCCTACAGCTGACACACAAAGAGTTAACGCCACTTGTCTGATCTGAAAGACCATAGAGAAGATAATCCTTCCTTCAGGGAGGCCATTGCAAAGTCTAACCTTTCCAGCACCATGAGTGACTAGTGCAGTGACCAGGAGCAGTCTCCATGACTTTTGCCACCATAGAGGTACCCTTGTGTCTCAGAGCTTATGTGTGTCGTGTAGCAGCCACAGCTGATGTGGCTCTAATGCCTCCTGCCACCAGGAGGGATGGAGACCAGAGCTGTCTCTGGTGGTTTTGATGTCGAGTCTCCAGAAGTCATCTGGTCCACCTCCAGACCCACACTTCTTAACACCCTGTAACAGGCAAAAGAGCTACAATGAAAAAAATCATAGCTTCAACCTTCATTTAGTTTCTCCAAGAGGTTTCCTCTAATTGCTAATGGTTGTGGCTGAGTTTGCTTGAGGTGCACAGTGCTATATTCATTAGATCATTTTGTTAATCAGTGGTGGCAGAACTGGGATTGGCAAGTGTTGTACTTAACCCCTGGACTGCTGTGGGCACATATAGATGTTATCTTGTGGAATACTTGAGCTGGTTGCACTGACATCATCTCTGCTACTGATTAAATGGTGGGAAGTCATTTCAGAAGGTTTCTAGGAAAGAGCACAAGTCCACCAGTTAAAGGAGATTCTAGAAATGGAACTCTGCTGTTCTGGGTCCCACCAGCCCATTGTGAGTGTCCACCAAGATCTAAGTTACCATGTCAGGAGCCCAAAACCAGTTCCTCAGTTGTTCTTTCAAGGCTCTTTTCACATCAAAACCCACTGAAGGCACAATGTGAAACCTGGTGCAGCAGGAGAAATTATTAAGACATATTAAGAAATATGTCTTAACTGTTTCCTCTGGTCTTTTT